TAGACCACAAGATCTTCCCTCTGACTCTCACTCTGCCCCACCTGGGGAAAAAAACAATAACTCAGTTTACATGTGTCATTCTCTGGTTACATGCACAGCATCAGATTCCTTCTTACATGTTACAAGAGCCAACTAAACCTGTACCATATAAGTCATTTTATACCTTCTTTGATCTTTTTGTCTGTCAGCCCTAGACATAATGTTAGGAATGTATTATCCTTCATAAAGGTATTTGTATATACTGTAACTACTGGTCTGATTTGTATTAAACTTGGTGGGAGGGTGTAACATGGGCCAAGGAAGAACCCATGACATTTGGGAAAGGATGTGGATCACAGAGCTGATACACAGACCATGTTTCACTTTCATTAACATTGCAGACTGAAGCTTCCCATGAACAGCCCCTATATAAAACAGTTATCAGTATGTTATGGCATTTGGATAAGAGTGCAAATGCCTTCAGTTTTGACTTCTACCATGCTGCCTGGGACATTGCAAAAACAAAAACTGAGCAATCCAACGTGGCTGATTTCTCTAAGAAGGAATGTATGAACTTTAGCTACATTCACTGATTTCAAATGTCCCCGTAGGCAATAGACTGAATATTATCACAGGAAATGAACTGACACAGTGTGCAAATTCGAGCAGAAAACACTAATGTCAAATTTGACATTCAAATGTCATGGATTATATTTATAACAGCAGTACATATATATACAGCTCTTCCTGTTTAAGTGTTATTTTTAGAATTCAGGTTGATTACAATTATTAAGTACATTTGATGAGCCCAATTGAATGTGTTTCATCAGTCTCTACACAATTATTCATACTGACTTGTTATAATTAATCATTTACCATTACGCTTAAAAGGAAAAAATAGAGCCTACAGAAATATAAACGTTCTTGAATGTATGATTAGATATAAAAGACACATACAAATAAACAAATCGCCTAGTAACAAAATATTATACACTCAAAAGTAAATGTTTCTTCAGTATGATTTGGTTATTTAGAGCCTAACTTCTAAATAATGTCACCACTTGTGTTGCTTTCCTTTTTTCCACTGTCACACACAACTATTAACTACTGGGTAATGGGTATGGATCAAATAGTAAAAAACAACATAAAAATAACAACCTCATTGCACTCATTGCACTCTTTCTTTGTTCAGTTATACAGTCTGACGCCCAGGAGCTTTTTGAGAAGATGCTGATCCACAAATTCCCATGGGTTTGCTGGGACTGGACCAAAGCCAGTGGAAATTGCAAACAAACACTGGAGCTGCTGTGTCTGATGTGAGCACAAACAACCTCAAAGCCCTCGTTCTCACACGTCACATCTGTGTGTGTGATTGTGCATGTGCTGAAGTGTGCGTGAAGCATAAGTGGGAGAAAGTGAGAAAGAGATTGTGTGCGCGTGTGATTGTGAGGCCTAGAAGGCGTTTCAAAGGCATTACAGCATTAGATTTATGAGGGCATTCGCAGTAACACTGGCAATTAAACAAAGATCCCAGCTCCTGTCAAAAGTTCATATGAGACTGCCAAGG